GTGTCACCCCTAACCGACACGGGCTAACGGGTAAAATCTGGCTAACCGGCACTCCAGCTTTGTCAATATCGGTTGATCTACTATGTGAAAATGAAGAACATCATAACAGATTAAAAATATCCAGGTAAAAAAATTTGTTTTAAAATTACCTAGTTAAAAAAATATTACCTAGGTAAAAATCAAATTTACCTGAAGAAAAAAATTACCTACAACATATATATCAGCCATTCAGATTGGCTAATCTGAACAAAGGGGGTGTTTGTGTTTCACCAATTAGGCGACTCTTTAAGAATAAGACTCGTTCTAGGCCCCTGACATGCAAAAAATGCCTTGCAGCTTCGAATGTTTACAAAATTGAAGGTGACAAACGCTTTTTAGGCTTTTTCCAAGGTAAATCATCTTAAAAATGGCGTATTTATGTAGGAATTCCTAAGAAACTATTGTCTTGTTGATTTATGTTTTATTTTATAAATGCTGTGTGTTCTTTTGTGAATTATGCAATTTTTCGTGAATTGTGCGATTGGATGCGATTTGAGGTCGATTGTGTGAAATCGCACCATCGCGTGATATCAGAAGGCCTGCAGGTCACATGGTAACTAATCGCATGGCTGCGTGACCAAACAAATAAAGAAATGGTAACAAATGCACAACAACACAGCCGCGTGACTGGTTACCATGTGACTTGGCAATAGTTGAGAATGTTTCATACACACAATGTGTAACCTGCAAATGATGTTAACCATAATTGCAACAAATGATATAAGTCAGCTTTAACAATGTTTTTGTCCTCAAGAGTGATAAATTTATCCATTTATGAAAAGTGGAATGCACATGGTCAGCAGTTACTGTGGTGAAATGCTGAGTGTATTATTGTTGTCAGTAATTTCCAGTAGAGGTAGTAAAAGTGATATGTTACAAATTTTTGGTCAGCTGTTTGTGAGTGAAGAGATGCATGTGTTTGTTTAGCTGGCATTTTGAAGCTGAGTGTGTGTGTGTGTGTTGATACTGTCAGTGCCTGTGATAGAATAACAAGACTTTGTGGTCTGACCAGAATGAGAACCAGCTAAATTTCATTCCTTTATGAACTGCACTTCTTTCTTGCCTGATAAAAGTCAGAATGTTGCATTGCTAAAATGGTCTTTTAACCCATTGACTTCTAGAGCTTTTTGCTAAAAATGCATTTTTTGGACATTCTGTAGATTTTCAGCCTGGATACAGGTCAAATTAGCTCCAATCTCCTCAAAAAGGCATTTGCAACATGACAGCATGCCTTTCTTTCCACTAGCATCACGCTTTACAACACTTTTGCTCAGGCGTGCACAGAAATCAAAATTTCGAGTTTTTGGAGGAGAAAGTGACCTACGTTTTTAGGCTTTTCCTTTTTCTCCTTTTCTTATCTTTTTGCTGTAGTGATTGACCTTCTACTGGGCTTGCTTCCAGTTCAAAAATGTCTGAGAAAACATCATCTGCTTTGTTAACATGGCCTTTCGGCTACTAAAACAATTATTTAGATAAATTCTTGTTAAGCCCATGCTTAATGACTTAAAGGCTAGCTATGCCCCTGTCTCCTCTAGCTGTTTAGTCTCTTTTTAAATACACATTACTGGAAGACAGCTCTTTTGATTACACTGTGCTATGTTAACTGAATATTATTTTGATTGTAGCCATATAAGTCACCAGAGGGGTTTGCAACTGTAATAGCAGCAGACAGGATTTACTTCAAGGTAAGGCAACCTGTAAATACAACATTGTCATTTATAGTTTCTTACTTACCACCAGAATCCACTCTTTCCTTTTATTATTTAAAGGAGAAGATCACTCCAAAAAAATGTATATTTTTTGCCAGCACTAATAAAAACCTTGCACTGAGTTTAGCCACTCAACGAAGTTTCAGCCTCTTAAGTTCAGGTTTTCCTTATGAAATTCGTCTCCAAAGAAGGCCAAAATTCAAACATCATTGCTGCCATTTTGAACAGTCCTCAGCAGCCAGGCCACGTTTTCGTGATGTCATTCTGTCTGACAGATTTTGTCCAAATGGCTTCCGAAGAGCCGTTTAATTACCACTCTAAGTTATGGCTTTGCTTGAGCCAAATTATTTTGAGCCAAACATGCTCCAAACTCCAAAATGATAGCATTGAAGATAGTAAAGTGGATAATTGCTTGGGAAAAAAAAAGATTTTACTGAACTTCTGAAGGATGCCCAGTCAGTTGCAGGGTTTTCTCCTTCCCACCAATTTCAAGTCAGACGGAATGATGTCACATAAACATGGCCTAGCTGCCATGACAGTTTCAAAATGGCGGCCTCCAAAGTTGCTTCTCTCAAGACAAATTTCTTCAGGATAGCGGGCACTTCAGAGGCTGAAACTTCGGGGAGTGGAGAAGCTGAATGTTTACTTGCTATAGGCTAACTAAGGACAAAAAAACTAAGCTTTTTGGAGTGACAATTAAGAATAAATAAGTGTACATGTACATTTACAGGGTGTCTTCGATGTGAATAAATAACAGATTGGGCTGATACATGTAGCTTTGTACATACACGTACATTTACATTTAAGAGCGTGTCTGTGTAAGAGCAACAACAAATTTTGGTGGAAAATGGATTACCTTCATTTTTTCTTTCTACACAAGACAATTAACATTCATGTGTGCAATGAATGTACATGTAAATGCCTTTATTTCACCAGATTTCCTTTCTTTAGTTTTTGAGGAGTTTTTTTACAGGCACCAAGAAAACCACACAAAATCATTATTGAGACTCTAAATTTTGGATGTTATGCTATGCTTGCATAGACACATCATATTCTAAATCCTAACATTCTTGAGATAGTTTGGTTTCACTACCAAAAGGTTCAAAGGTGTATCTAAAACATTTTCTATGCACAGAGAAGCCAGGAGATTTCCTTTGTAACTTTTTGTTATTCCTTGCAGGGTATTCTTTATCAAGCTGGTGACGTGGTGTCCATCGAAGACATAGAGGGTGATTTATACTATGCACAGTTGAGGGGGTTCCTACAGGATCAATATGCACAGAAAACTGCTGTCATTACATGGCTCATTCCCATGGTTCCCAAACCATCACACTTTGATCCGGCTCTATTTTTACCAGGTAAGTATTGAAAAAAAAAAAAAAAAAAACTTTTTACTTTTGGGGTCTAGGCTATATGTTTAGAGTGGATGGGTGAGTTAGTGAGTGAGGGATTTATGTATCCCACACCAGTCAGACTGTAGCTACTATGAACAACCAATCAAATCACAATTTGGCTGTTTTGTGGGTGCCTATATCGTTTGACATCTCTTAGAGATGTTGCACTAAAAATGGAACTGCTGGTTGAAAATAATCGCAAATTTGCATTTCTTCTCAGGGGTTCTTACATTATATTTGCATGCTGGACTAATGCTGACCTCTGGCAGGCAAATATAGTGCACGCTATCAAGTCTTGGATAAATATTATTGTAGTGAGACACAAGGCTGCTGCCTAATGGGCGCATGGTCACCTGAGGTGCCTAAGTTACGAGTGCAGGTGACTAAAGTTTTGTTCAAGGAGCCCGAGTGGGCGCCTAAACATGGAGTTTTCATTCCCATCCAATCCGTCCGATGACTTCAATCTTCTCATGAAATCGGTCAAAAAATCATTCACACAATAAATTAAACAGAAAACAACAGCTACTCTGGTCCTGTTTTGCTTTTAACACAAGAAATATGGACCAAAACACGACAATAACACCTCTCTCCCCTCACAAAACAGCTGAAAACAGCCATATTTGAAAATCGCCAGTATTGAATAAATGCACGTCATGTATGCCATTGTATTGTGTCTCTGTTGATGCCCTGCTGATTCCAGTTGCAAAATAACTACTTTGGTAACCAATATTTTTGGAATTGGAGTGATGATGTTGCTGACATTATATTTACAATTGAATAAAGATGAAATGTCTCTAAATTCTTGGCCTTTTTTTCTCTGATACTTTGGAAAACTTCACTTACCTGTACTGAATGAATTTCTGTAGTTTCTGAAAGGATATTTACAACTTAAAAGTCGAAATATTCAAGAAGCTAGCCAGCAAAAAGAAAACATCATTGCAATTCTTTTTGCATACTAGGGCTTCTTATTTTAAATTATCAATGAATTGTCATGACTCTGCCCAATATACGTGAATATATTTTCTCCAAAGAAGCAGCCAATGTAATGCGGTAATGCTGCCTAAAAAAGAAACCGTTTGTCTGTACTTGTGTCCCTGAAGCCCGGGGAAGGAAAGCACATTTCAGTGAGGCCAAATTCAAATGCCCCAAATACCTCTTTCATTTTTATTTGCTTTCATTTGCAGCTTGCATTTCATGACTTGTACAATGTATTTTGTTTTGTTATAGAATTGCTGAACTCAAAAACAAAAGCAGCAATATAAATTTTTGTAAAAAAAGGCTGCAGCACTTGCATGGATACACCAATTATTGAATTTGTTTGACCACAAATAGTATTCTTTCTCAGTCATGACCTGATCACTTTGCTGAACACTTTATTTCAAAAATTTGATTGA